AATCAATGAAATTAATTCACTAGAAGAAGCTAATAATGAAATTCCGAACAGTATTGAAGGGGTGAAGAAACGATTTCTGGCTTTAAAGTCGTCTTTTATCTTATTTCTTCTTCTTCTTTCTTCTAAGAGTTCTCACCATTACTGATTAGGCTGGCTACAAGGATAAGACGTTCAAAGCCTCCAAGCTGCGCAGTCTGATGCGATCGTCGACAGTAATAGAAGCCACTCCTTTTTCCATCGTCTAAATCCATATATTGCCCTATACGTCAAAATCTTTTCTGACCTATTAATTCAGAACTTGATTGGCTCACCTCGGTTTTGATACCATCCATCATAGGGCTTAGCAAGTAACGAAATATGTCAACTCTTGTGATGGGCGAGGAAGAATGTGTTCTAACCAGCGAAGGCGCTCTGTAATGGCACTGTTAATGCAAGTGATGGTATTTCAGCGAAGGTGGATGCGATCATGTGAGATTCATTATCCACTTGGCAAACTCGTAAACTTGTACCTTAGACATGAGTCAAAGGTAAATAACTTAATATTCTCCACTCTCAAGAGCCATGTACTATACTATATATTATACCATGTAGCAAGATCGAACGAATCGCGACTATATAGACGCGGGCTTTAATTTTTATGATGTATGGCGACGGCTCCATAAAGGTTTCGTCAACCGTAAGAAGCATTTACAACTGCTATCCTGGTTGTAATTTCGCCTTTTGCCTCGCCATTCGGTATTAGAGTGGATCCAAGGTATTTAAAAATATTTAAAGACAAAAAACTTTCCTTTTATTTATATTGACTCTTAAATCCGATTTTCGCTGCAGTTGCTGGCAAGTTATTTAGCATTATTTGCATTTCGTCATAACTATCAACAAAATGACTACATTATTAGCGTATTCAAGATTTGTGATGCGATGCTCCGGATTGATTTGTACACCTCTTGACGGATAAGAGGTGCCCATTATCCGCATAGTTGAATATTGTAGGAGAAAGGATGCGGCCTTCACTTTTATCTTATTTACTTCTTTATTTCTATGCATCAACAATTTAATGCTTGCTTCTCCTGGTGGGATTAGCATATGTTTGACTGTCGTTCTCGCTCCTTATCATAAATAAACTGGAAAGGCACCTATATTTCCAATTATTCGCTGATGAAAGGGCAAAACCTGAAAGACAGTAATAAGCTCTGGAAATAGCAAAACCAAAAATGGTGCATGTCAGTGGAAGAATAAAAGCCTAAGTTCATTCATTACACAGGAAAATATTATTATAGAGAATGAAGACCGATTAATGTTGAGATTTTACATATATCTTCGAGTTTTTTGGTCTATCCGAATCTAATATTTTGGTAATTCTAATTTAATATTTTTGGAAATCAATAAGGATTTATTTGTTTACTAAATTTGGCTATTCTTGGTATTTAATTAAAAAAATTCTTAGCTAGTGAGATATTTTGTTTAGCCAATAACATGGACGTCAAAGATCATTGCCTCGTTATTTTGCAAATGAATCATAAAATGATAAGGTCTTGCTAAGGTTTGTAAATTCGCTATGAAAATTAAACCCGGAAAAGCACTGGAGACCCACATCCACCTTCTATTAGTGAAGTTGCTCCTAAAATTAATTTCAAGCCCAAATAAATAATAAGTGAGTGGCATGGTTGGCTTTGATATAAATTTTTTTTACTATTTTTTCATTCTAAATAATTCATAAGATTTGATTTAAGATTTAAGATGCATTTAAAATTTGCGATAAATATAGAACAGGATATAGAGAATAGAATTTTGCGTTGACTGAGAGCTTCATGGTCTCTTCACTTTTTTCATTAAAGGTAAAATCGTATTTTTTCATTAAAGATATGGGTGGTGCTGTTGACACATCTTCTAATTCTATTCCAAATCTCACATTCTATGAAAGGTTGAATAAATTTCAGTTAAATTTCAGTTTAAAAACTATTTTAAGCTTGCAATTCAATAAAACTTCAAAAAAAGTTCATTTTTTGCAGAATATTTTACAATTTATTTAAAAATGGAGATAATTTTCCCATTAATTTAATTTTCAATTATTTTTTTCGCATCTGTTTAATTATTTTTTTAGGATAAAAAAGACCGAAAAAAACCATTCGTCAATTTCAATTATCATTATTCATTAATTTCATTTTTCGTCATTTATTCACAAGAAAATTCCAAGGAAGTTCGATGTATCTATGTATCTTTTAAAAGTTCTCAAGTAATCAAGTAGATAATGAAGTAGTTGTTGTTTAGATTGATGTCTCGAGAATCTATGCTGTTTGAATCCCCTCGACAGGAGAGCAAATCCTATGACCAATAGTCTCATTTAAAAAACTTGTTTGAGATTCTTAATAATAAAGTTGTAATTATATAGAAGAAAAAGGCTAGAACTTCTGGCTAGTATAACAAATTTTATACTTTATGAAATTTACACTGTTACATATTTTACAGAAATTGCAGAAATTTTTTGAACTGTGGGGAATTGTAATAAGTATTTAGGTTTTATAAGAAGTTAGCGAAATTTTCAAGCAATAAACACTGGCGGATTCGTTCATAGAATTTGTGATAATTTATCCATTTCTTATCAGTTATAACCTTATAGTTCTTAATACTCTGTAATTTTAAAAGCTTTTGGTATTTTCTGTCTTGCTGCCTAGAAATGGAGCATTAGAAATGGAGTGGATCGAATAACTCAGAAAAATTTTAAAATTTCGCAAAATTTCTTAGAAGTGCTCATCAATGCCTATGAATCTACAATGGACCCATGGTGGTAAAAGTGATGATTGATTACAGAATTAAGATTTAATTCTTTATCTGAAAAAAATATAAATCTTTTATTACGAAAATTTTTATTTATCTTATTTTATCTTATTTATCTTATATTGTTTAGTGTATATTTTTTCAATATATCGGATCGTCCATTTACTATTTCGAAAATTTCAATAAATTTGCATTTTTATAAATGTAAAATCTTGAGCTAAAATTTTCAACAAGTTTCACAAATTAAATTAAGGAGCAAAATAGCCGAATCGGTGGCAGTTTAGCGATTTGGCTTTTTCAATAGAAATAATCCCGCCATTAAAAAACCAGAATGGTGCTGGAGACCCACCTGCACTATTGTTGCCAAGTGACCTATCTATTTCGAACCGCTCTTATGGCATACTTTTACAAATTAAAATTAGAATCGTTGTAACTTCGTCATTTAAATAGTCTTATGTGGAGGAATAAAATAAATAAATTAAATTTCTCATAAATTAATTTAATTAACAAGAGGAAAGCAAATGTAACAAATCCTGGAATTTCAAATAGCTTGAACCTATATATTTCATACTTTAATATTTTTCTCTTCATAATATAAATATCGAGATTTTTTTTGTTTATATTAATATTAATCAATATTAAATGAAATGTTGATATTAAAACGCTTCTTGATAACTTTATTACTATTATCACCTGCAAATTTCACAAATGCTGCTGCATTTAAATGGAATTATCTGCTGATAAACTTGCATGAGTCTGAGGTCAAATAAGATTTTGAGCAGTCAATTATCTGCTTTGCTCCATGTCAATCGATTATCTAATTTCTATTATTGTAAAATTTTTTTTTCGAAACTTCTAAAGGTTGCTCAAACCGAACTAAGTTGTTTTTTCCTAAATTTAAAAATTTAAAAAATAAAGAATTGAAGTAGAATATATATATATATATATATATAGAATATATAAATAGAATATATATATATATGAAATTTATAATAATATTACAAAATAAATATTGTGATGTCTAATTATGTCTATCTTTGACAGGTTTGAGTAAACCTGTCATGTCAAAAATTCGAATGGTTCCTATAATCAGGGCTTAAGGCAATCTCAAAGCTAATAAATAAAATATGCTCGCAAGCCAGAATAACTCGAAACCTATCAAGGAGAAAAGCCCTCTGAACGCGAATCGAGATATTAGCCGCATCAGCATGAAACGTCAGAACAGTTATGGACGTTGCAAGTCAAACGATCACTATCCACACTCTTTCTAAATATCATGTGGATATCGCCTGCTTGTCTGAGGTCCGTCTTCCTCACTCTCGAGTAATTACTAATCCTTTCTGAGTCTCGGAGCAGAGATATTAGAGATATTGGCTACATCATTGCGGTACTTCAGATAATTCGGGGCGAAGTGGCCGGAACCGTCAAGCGACCATATGACCTATGTCCGCTTTAAAGTAAGTTCTGCAATATCTCGATTATCACTGTCTATGCTCCAACTCTGTCGACAGATGATCGTGATAAAGATAAGCTCTATGCAGAATTTCAACTGCTAATAAAGTCTCTACCGAAACAAGGCATGGTCATAATCGGGAGAGACTGGAATGTGCGCATAGGTCGTAATGCCGCTACAATGAATACCTCGACAATTGGCAAATATGGCATCGGGGTCCAGTGCGCCAATGAGGAAAGTCTTCTTCGTTATGCCGTTGAGCATAAACTTTTTGCTACCAATACTTACTTCCAGCGTCGTAAGAAATATCACGTGAAACTCCCTAGATGACCAACATACCAACATTTTAACCAGATCGATTATATGATTATATCCCGGTCAGCCGAGTGAACGAATTCCATATTAGCTAGCCGTTCCTATCGCAATTTTGAAACAGGCGATCTCCATGGATTTGACCATTTTATGGTTCAAGAAAGATCCGCATAAAATTGACAATCAATTCGCAGAAAAAAATGTCCTCCAAGATCCTTCGACTATCTCAAACTAAAAAATTCGGGGACAGTGAGCGCATTTCACTTATTGAAGCATCTCAAATGTGCTGTCCGAACTAAAGAACTTCCACGCCAGGGCATACTAGTAGAAAGTACGCTAGTTGGGCATCGGAAGCACTGTCCATTGTATGAAAAAGCTGTTAAAGCACGAATGTCAGGTGATCCTGACTACCAGCTGCTTCAAAGATTTACAAGCAGCATGACGAGACTATTGGAGTGACATGGCCTCAAGAATGGAGATGGCGGCTCGATTAGACGATAACAGGAAACTATTACGCCTTTTTGATAAAGCAACTGTAACTCGAGGAACAATTAGTGAAATGCTAAAGGATAGCAATGGCGTGCCAGTCAAGAATATTAAGAACCGCCTCATAAAATGGAAAAAATTCTTTGAGGCCAAACTTAACCATGAAAAGCTATCTGTTGCTCCTGATATCGCTGATACGTTTGCCGAAACCATGAGCAGCCAAGTCAAGAAGAAATAGTTTCCATTATCCTTAAGCCTAAAACTTTGAGAAATGATGGTCTTTGAAACGAACTCTTCAAATGTTATCCATCGTCCTTCACAATGCAAAGAAATACTACCAGATAAGCAGCTTGCAATTCTGCTCGCAATTCGCAATTCCTAAGAAAGGAATTATAGTACAAACTGCGATAATTGTCGAGGAATTAGCCTATTAGACGTCTCAGCGACAATTTTTATTTCCCTTCTCAACAGATTTATGGAAGTATGAGAACCTAAAGAGCAAGATATCCCCTAATCAAGCTGGATTCAGACCGGGGCACGGTTGTGCTTACCAGCTATTCACGTTAAGAAGAGTACTGGAAAATATCTGCCCAATGTCATGTGCTTCATCGATTTTGCGGCTGCCATTGATTCAATTGATAGCGCGATGCTTTGGAGAATGATGGTCTTCAGAGATCGTCCGACTCATAAAGGCATTTTATGAGTGCACGTCGGCGCAGGTCTGTGTATATGGGGAGCTGACAGATTCCTTCGAAATAAGAACAGATGTCAGGGCTGCGACCTTTCCCTCACAATATTAAACTATGCGATAGACTGGATAATGGACACCGCTTGTCGGCACTCGAGGTGTCCAAATCAATCCAGACCATCGTATTACAGACCTTGCACACGCTGATGATGTAGTCCTTTTTGGTGTTAGTTGTGGCGAAATGGAAATAATGTTAAATAACGTGTTAGCAACTGCAGCGAAAATCGGACTCAGAGTCAATGTGAATAAAACGAAAATCTTTTCGTCTTATGTGCAAGAAGCTGATTAAATGCCTCTTTTTGTAATTCATTGCCGGTTGAGGAAGTGCCCGATTTCAAATACCTTAGGTCTACTCTAATAGCAAATGGATAGGCGAAAGATGATATTACAACTCGGACCACGGCAGCTAGAAATGCGTTCCGGTTGACGAAACCTTTATAGAGTCGTCTTGAAATCACCATAAAAACGAAAGTCCGCATAGCCGTGATCCGTTCGATCTTGCTATATGGTTCTGAGACATGGCCAATAAGAGTAGAGGATATAAAGACATTATCTGCCTTTGACAACTCATGTCTAAGGTACTACATTTTACGTCGGGTGAATAAAATCTCATGTGATCGCACCCATCTTCATTTAAATACCACTTGCATTAACAGAGCCATCACAGGTCGTCGTTTTCGCTGGTTAGAACACCTTCTTCTTTGCCCATCACAGGAGCTAGCCTATTTACGCTTATTTGCTAAACCATGTGATGGGTGGCATCAAAAGCGAAGTGGGCCAATCAAGACCTGGAATGATACGGTCAGAAAAGATTTTGAACGCATAGATGGACCAGCAATATATGGACTTAGACGATAGAAAAAGGAATGGCTTCCATTACTGTCGACGATGGCATCAGACCGCCGTTTGGAAGCGTCTTACTTTTGTAGACGTTGGAGCCAGCCTAACCAGTAATGGTGAGAACTGTTAGAAGAGAAGAAACTGGTGCATTAAAAAATGAAATAAAAGTGTTGAAACTTAAAAATGGTTCAAGCAAACTGTCTTGGTTTCTTTAGAAATAAAAAAACGATTATTTAGTGCCTACCATTTCTGATTTGACTAGCATCATTATGTATTACTTTGCTAAAAGATTTTCTCAAGGAAATCGCTTACCAATGTAATAAGCAATAGAAATGAATAGTAAATTGAAAACGACTATAAAGTTTTTAAAGTTTTTCTTCTGAGGAATTTTACTCAAAATGTATTAAATGATGAAATTGAGCAACTGTCATAAAATTGTTGTTTTTGCCAAAATTATTTTTTTGTATCCTCTTCAGCCATATTCGAATATTTTTTTAACAATAAGTCCACCACTGCCGGAGAGAATCATCATACTCAAGACGATAAATATTCCTCCAACCAAAATCAGTCCGCAATCCTGAAATAAATAAAATAAAAAAGCATTTTGCTTAGAAACCTTCATAAAATTGAGATTTCTTGTTACAAGATTTTTTTTCTTTTTATTTTTTCTTTTCATCAACGAATAAGTACTCATTCCAACAAGTAAAAAATATCAAGAATGCAAGCAATTTTTCTTTATTTTGATGAAGCATTCATTCACTATATCCGAATTTAAATGATGAACCTAAATTCGCTCTTGATATGTTTACAATCTATGCTATAATAATATTATAATAACTTTCTTTTCCTTTCAATTATGAGTAATATTCCATTATTACTATAATATTATTTAGCTTGACAAAAAAGCTTCTGCATTAAGGATGAGAAAAATTGTTATCTGAATGCAATTTAACTTCATTAGTTACATTTAGTTCCATTAGCTGCAAGAGGTAAGAATCAAACCATGATACATGGTCGAAACATCATCGTTCAATCATCTTATCTTAAGGATGAACATAAGGGACATAGTACATAGTCATGTTTAGAGGATGAACTTCTTATGCAAATTAACTTCACTTCTTCGTTTAACAAATGAAAACTGTATTTTAACTTCGATGTAATCATGCGATCCATTCTCAGTTAATTTATGTATTAAAAACCCACAAATCTTTTTCTGAATTGTATACAGCATGTAACAGCAAGTGTATAGAAGTAGTATCTATCTATCTATCTACATATATATATATATATATTTATATATTGCCTTTCCTTTTAATATCCAATTTAGATTTGTGCATCAAGCAGCATGGGTTTATTCTGCATAAATGTTTTTTCTTTTAACAGCAGTAAATCTGTCATTAAAAATGAAATCCGAATGAATGAAAAAAAGTTCAGATCACTGTTTGGCAAAAAAACTCTTATCTCTCCAATAGTGGAATCAGAAATAATTGGGGAATTAATCAGATGATCCGTTTTTTGTTGAAATTCCAGAAAATTTAAAGGAGAACTCTTAAGTCAACATTCCTTCAGAATAATTTAGATCTTCAATTTTAATTTACAGTCATGAAGCTCGAGAGCTCAGCGTTTCTTGGTTAGTGTGCCGATGAAGCTTGAGAGGATAATACAATTAATATATTTTCAGTAATAGCGCATCCAAATACATTCATACATTTTCAATAAATGCATTTCACTTAAACTCATTAATTCAATGAATTCATTCTTCCAAGAAAACTGGGCTAATAAATAAGAAATTACTTCTTGAAATGCTAATGTGCTTACAATTAATTGTTTATTTGCCTCACCATATATTTTAGAACGATGCAGTGAATTCATCGCTTCATTCTGAATATTTTTATTTTAATATTAATCATCTATTCAATTATGTTATTACATTTTTATTTATTTATAGAAGCGAGTATTTTTCGTGTTAATTTTACCTCATTCTAATTAAATATATGACAAAAACTGGTCTCTGCTTACATTGTTTTCTCATCAATTTCAGATGCTAAAGAAGGATGTGCGCTATTTCAAATTTTCTTACTTTTACAGCTGTCATTTATCTATTGACATTATTCAAATTAAAATCACATTATCTTTTCTCCACTTGAAAACTGAAAATTGATTTCAAGTGATAGCAATCCAAAATAAATAAGAAAATAAAAAATTATTCTATCACTATTATACTACTATTATTAAAAATTATTCATCAAAATTTCAAATTTATATTTAGACAGACAGCAATCGATGATTTTCTTCTTCTTAATTATTCTCTTTCTTTCTTGCTTTTATACGGATTTGCACAAAAATATTTCAAGGAATATTTCCATCCATGCGCCAATTCCTGTATTTGTCTGCCCATTCATACATACCAATTGTTTCGATTTTTTCAAAATCATTAATTTAAGAAATATTGGAATGCGATTATAAGAAAAAATTAAAAAAGCAAGTGTTTTGTGTTTATTAATAAAAAAATCAAACATTATTAAACTCAAAAAAATTTAAAAATATTAACAAAAGAAACGATATGTTGTTTTCACTAAAATCAAGCCAGATTGATTGTGTCCTTTGGCAGTGCAGAATAGGACTGTGAAAAAGGTGTTGTAGACCTATTGACGAAGGACCTCAGTGGTCAACTAAGTCAGCCAAACCAATGTGATCCTTGCTTTTCATTAGCAAAATTTTTTCAATTTTTCACGAAATAATCTGCTACTTTATTCATGTCCTATTGACAAACGATGAATTGAACCTAACTTCACTTTCTGCAAATTACAGTGGCATGAAAGAACAAACCAGTCCAAGGTGACTGAAAGATACTGTGAGGTAAAGTCCCTGGACCAAAAGCAGAAAGGGTTGTCGCCAGTAGTAGGTGGAACCGGCAGAAAACAGCGGTGAAGGTCAAGATAGCTAGTTTGAGCCGCAAACCGCGTAAAGTTGGATGTCATCACAAGCACAGTGTAATGCTCGATAAATGAAACTGTAATTCTTTCCAGAACCATAAGATATTTTTATTTTTGATCAAATTGTAATCCCTCATTATTTTAATATTTCCAAATTTCAATTTTATTTTTATGATTTTCATTGCATTCATCAGTTATTATGAGCTAAAACTATGAACAATTGTATGAAAACCTTTCCCTTAATTCCCTTAAAGAATTTGATTTTGAATGGAACGTATATCAAATCAAATTCTTTTCTTAATAAATGATTTTCAAATATTAGGAACATAGAATTTCATCAAATTAATGTGAACTTATTTTAACTCATTTGCCCAGCTGGTAATGATTAACAAGAATTTGGCTTTTTTTCTAAAGTATATTGAATTTCAAAAAGCTTTTTAGGTCGCTGAAAGACCGTTTTAAAGTCCAAGAAGCGAAAATTTACTTAGAAAAAACTCAAGTGATCTTCAATTTTTCATTGTTCAAATTAAGTATACTACATAACATATTACAATTTTAACCGCGATAAAAAAGTACATGTTTTACAAAATTTTCTCAAAACTTTTACCTAAAATTTGAATTGAAGCATCCAAAAAAAATTATACAATATTAATCGACTATATATTCACTATTTCTATAAGCCTTTCTTATCCGAAAATAATTTTTTTTTGCATA